ATATTCCTTCATTTTCCATGACCATGTGTTTGGAATTCTGCTATAAATAGCAAAGGAGTCTGAAGATTTATAACTGCCAGGCAAAAAGCAGTCTTGGGAAACAAGAGGAATCCAAGAACGGGCTGTTTAGGGGAACCAATACTGTGTTAAAGACTAGTGGTTCTCTGTTCCCCTGTTTTGTAATAAGTCTTGGAAAAAAGAAATACCAGAAATTACATTCTCCTCAGAAGGAAGCTGAATGTGTGAACCACTATCCACTGCAATTTCCTGATGCTAGGGGAAATGAGTATGAAAAAATATATCTGAAAAAATTATATCCAAAATTCTCTACCTTGCTCTGCCCATTCATCTACTGTACCTATAAACTGGAGAAACTATTTTCAGCTGGGCAAAATATCATGCTTAACCAATGTCATTGGACTCTCAGCTAAAACAGAATGGAATTCACCAAACACTACTGCTTGCACCATGCCTGTTTATTTCACTTGGGTTTACTGAGCCTAAGTGCCGTTAATGGGCATAGTATTTCATGGATTATTCCCATAAACAACAATTGTGAGGGATTGTTTAGCAGTTCACTAAAAAGTTGACAGCTTAATTTCACGAAAACATCACGTTCAAACTGCATTACATGAAACCAAATCAATGGCTATAAACAAAGCCTGGTGTGATTCTTACCTAAAATATTCCCAGGATGGCCTAACTGAGCATCACTGTATCCAACACAGACACCTCCGTTCACCATTGCCACCAAATCACTCAAGTGGTTCAGGCCAGAGAGTGGCCATTCTCTCTGCATTGTACCGTACACTTTTAAACGTGCAATTCCACCATCTGGGAAGGGGAAAGTGTTTTAATTCTGGTTTCATGCCAGAAGAAAAGGATGCACATATTTTGATTAGAGAAAATAATGCATATGCACATTTCTATATTTTTAAGTAGTTACATTTTACAATAATATACGGCGGATATAACTTAATATATGCTATGATGATTGTTAAGGGAGAGACAGAAATAACAAGGAAAGAATGTGAGCAAATGGTGTTACATATACAGCTGTGGTGCAGCTTCATCGCTGTGGTTCTCCAGATGTTCATTGTCTCCCAACTCCCACCAGTACCAGCCAGAATGGCTAATAGTCAGGGATAACTGACAGCAACATCTGGAGGGTCACAGGTTCATTTCCTCTGATAGGGATCTTACCTGGATATATGTTGAGTCTTAAGTGTGTCCATTTTTGCTTCAAAGTTGCAACAAAATAGTTGTGGGCAGCATCAAGGTTTCCTGATTTTATCTTTGAGATGGGAACTAAGGAAGTCCATTCATCTGACCTCATCTAAAAATAAATATTCATTAGCTGGTTAACTTTCAAGGAAATGATAACTTTACTTAGATTTCTTTTTAATACACCTGAGCTGGTATAGAGGTGACCCCACACCCATATCAAGACTACCTTTAAAATATTTAGGGTGCTTACGTAACTCAGATGTAAAACTTTTGAAATGTGCAGTGCCGCTAAAATTGGCCTCTTTAAGGCAACCTTAAAGGTAAAGGTAAAGGTAACCCTGACCGTTAGGTCCAGTCGCGGACGACTCTGGGGTTGCAGCGCTCATCTCGCTTTACTGGCCGAGGGAGCTTCCGGGTCATGTGGCCAGCATGACTAAGCCGCTTCTGGCAAACCAGAGCAGTGCACGGAAACGCCATTTACCTTCCCGCCGGTGCGGTACCTATTTATCTACTTGCACTTTGATGTGCTTTCGAGCAGGCTTAGCAGGTGACTAATGTTACAAACTTGTAGATAGGTGTGATCTGGTAAACCAGCCATTCATAGCACAGCCTCATAGGCCACTTGTTGTCCCCATCCTGTTTACTTGTTTACTCCAGGGAAATTCCAAATACCCGTTGTTTATAGCCCTTTCTCAAGTATAGAAATATCTAAGGTCTACCTAAGCGCATCAAAAGTAGGAGTGGTAATAGGAGAATGTTTTCATCACAATTTACATGCTCTCTTTTATGTATTTACTCTGTGCATAGTGAGAAGAGTGAGACCATATTTGCTGGACTTCCCTGCATTGCTCTCTCTGTTAACCCCACTCCTGATATCCACAGATTGAAACAGAGCCTTTGCACATACCCTATCACAAACTCCTTTACAAATGTTGCGTTAATTAAAAAAATGGCATAGTGACTCGCTCACTGAATTATAAAAGCCATGAGGAATGAGGCAAAAGCAGCTAGAAAACAACCCAAACTTTGGAGAAACAAGTCATGAAGAAGAAGAGGAGGAGGAGGAGGAGTTTGGATTTGATATCCGGCTTTATCACTACCCGAAGGAGTCTCAAAGCAGCTAACATTCTCCTTTCTCTTCCTCCCCCACAACAAACACTCTTTGAGGTGAGTGAGGCTGAGAGACTTCAAAGAAGTGTGACTGGCCCAAGGTCACCCAGCAGCTGCAAGTGGAGGAACGAAGACGCGAACCCGGTTCACCAGATTACAAGTCTACTGCTCTTAACCACTACACCACACTGGCTCTCTTTGGAGAAACAAGCCATGGCTTGTTTGGTGGTCTGGGATAACTCATAGTTAACTTGTGGTTTAACAACTCATTTCTTATCATTATTTGTAAAGTAGGCTTTAGAGATTAGGGCTGCAGAGAGAGCTGTGGGTAAATAAATTGAGAAAGAGGGGATATGTGGGAGATGGTTCAGAGAAGCAGAAGGTAGTATAGAGTTCAGAAGCATAATAGGCCTTTATCCCCATTGGTTGCTGCTAGTCACTCCCTATATGTGGCATCTGCATGGTGCAGCCTATCCCCTTTCCCCACCTTCGTATTTTGCAGATGCCAAGAGGCAATTTCATTGGGACACGGGTGGCGCTGTGGTCTAAACCACTGAGCCTAGGGCTTGCCGATCGGAAGGTCAGTGGTTCGAATCCCCGCGACAGGGTGAGCTCCCATTGCTCGGTCCCAGCTCCTGCCAACCTAGCAGTTTGAAAGCACGCCAGTGCAAGTAGATAAATAGGTACCGCTCCACACTAATAGGTGGTGATGGTAGTCTAAAATAATGTGCCTTAACATTTTGATAAAACACAGTAATTTTAGCGCAATAAGTCAGTGTTATCTGGTGCTTTTCCTACACAGGCATCCCAGTTACCTCCTTGACAATCCTCAGCTCTTCATCCGAAGCAGCTGTTCCTATTCTGTTCCCTCTTGCTGGCAGCGCTGGTACCTCCTCTGCAAAGACAATATGCCCAACAGAAATTTAAGTAGATAATACGGGCATAATCAAAACCTCTTCCACATCCGCTTCCGAAAAGCTAATTGTTGAGATTCACTATTTTATCTTGTAAAATATTATATTAGCAACAGGGTATCTACTGTAGGGCTAAGGGGGGGTGGTTTGGGGAGACTAGAGAGCAAACTAAACATGACTTTGAACACCACGTGCAGAAACATGAAAAAATGAAAAGCTGCTGATATGTGAGAGACAACACCCGCTTCCATCATTGCCAACACGACCATTGCCGTTTACTACATTGATATTGTTGGGGTAAAGAAAGCTTCTGTCAGGATGTCCCTGTGATGCAGATGAGGTTGGGATTAGCACAATGTAGCAGCACGTGGGATGAATGCATCATAATCAGTGCACACTCTCCTAATCACATTTGTGCCATTTCAGACATTAAATCATAGAATTGTAGGATGGGAAGGGACCATTTAGTCCAACCCTCTGCAAGGTAGACATCTTTTTGCCCAACATGGTGCTCGAACCCACATCTCTGAGATTAAGAATCTCATGCTCTACCAACTGAGGTATCTGGATACCCTTGCTGCTCTTTTATAGTCAGCATAGCTCTGTGCTGGTAACAGAAGATTAGAAACAAGCAGAGTCATGAATGGCGAAACATTACTATGGCTTTTTGATCTCCAGTGCCTGTATTAGCCCCTAGAAATCCTGTGCCTGGTAGCTAAACCTGAAAAAGCCTCTCCTTCACACTTTCCCAATAGCCAGTCCCTCCTGCTGAGGGTCCATATTTGGCATCCCTTGCCCCCTCCATGATGTTTCGTAACCTCTAGCCCAGGCATAGGCAAACTCGGCCCTCCAGATGTTTTGGGGCTACATTTCCCATCATCCCTGACCACTGGTCCTGTCAGCTAGGGATCATGGGAGTTGTAGTCCCAAAACATCTGGAGGGCCGAGTTTGCCTGTGCCTGCTCTAGCCCTAGGCATATCTGTCAGCCTTCCCCTTTTTTGCGGGAAATTCCCTTATTCCAGCACTGTTTCCCACTGCTTCCCACTGCTATCCTGGATTGTTAGATATCCCGTAGACTGTCCCCGGGAAAGGTGAGGCTGCTGATCCCTTATTTTCAAATCTGAAAGTTGACAGCTATGGCCCTAGGCCTTGAAGAAAAGTTTATCTCAATGATGCTCATCTCCCACTGGGTTTCAGGCAACGTGACTGTTCTCCTGATGTTGCTCCCGCTAGGATCCCTTTCCTGTCACCTTTCCGTCTTCTGATACAGCATAATCAGAACCTCTACAAAGTTCCTGAGATCTTAACTTACCTGGCTTCAAGCAAGCAGCTTGGATTGATATCTGAGGAGCGCAGTTTCCAGCAAAGTAAGATGTGTCTGCCTCAAACCCATAAATCGTACCTGGCACCCCCAGCTGAATGATGCACCAATCATGACCTAAGACGCAAAGGAAGGACCTTTAAAATGCAACACCCAACCAAAGTTAATATATGTAGATTTAGGAAATTTTCCATCCTATTTATTTACAAGATTTCTTACCCACCTTTCACCATAATCTCAGAAATTCTCTCAGAAAAGAAAAGTCTTCTAAAAATAAATAAATGTCGGTTCAGCTGTTTTACCTGGAATGCGCTTCCTCCTGGTTTCCCATCCATCCCTCCACTTCCCAAACTCGGTGAATAGGTCTGCATGATACGCTGGTCGTTGTTTCTAAGCAAACATATATAAAAAAGATCAAGGTAGTGCTTGCATTATGCCCTTCATTTTAATAAGGTTTAAAGCTGACAGAATGTTTATATGTTTATAGTAGGTGCTTCAGAATGCCTTGATTCGGGGGTTTTGTGTTCGCTATGTGAAATGAACCAAATTAAAAGTGAACTGGGCAAGAGGAGGGCTAGTGGGCTGGCTAGACGCCTATGGCCATTCCCTTGAGATTGGTGTCAGTCTGAAAAAGGCCTAGCACATGAACAGCAGCTACCATATAGTGGTGCCATTGAGGATGGAATTCAATTCAGAAATGTGGTGGGCTACAACCCCAAATGAAGCAGAGCTAGTTTATAAGGGGAGCCCTTGTAATGTAAGGCCATTTGAAATAAGTGACGTTGCACACCAGTACCACCTAAGAGACACTCTTCCATGTACAGCCATTAAGGCCAGAGTCTGAAAATATCTAACTACTGTATATTATCACTACCACAACTGACCAAATGCTTATTCTTATACAAAGGAAAGGAAACTCTGTAGTGTGTGGCCCCCCCCCAACTTTTCACAGCTTGGAAAAGGCAATTGTGAAACAATACCTTAAGCGTTAGAATGTTAATTGGCCTTTATTTATCTATTAAATTTATATACCACCCTTCATCAGTGGATCACAGTGGCCTTTATCACCAGAATACATCTGCAATCCAAAGAAGAGCCATATAGATATTGCATACCTACCTTTAAGAGATTTTCTGCAGGAGCAAAAAAGTCATCCGTTGCAAATAAAACCTTTACAAAATAAAAAAGAAGCATGAATTACAGCTGCAATTTACATGTAACTACTAATTTTATTTTACATGCGACATTGGAAATCTCTCTTTGAGATTAGGCAGGCTGGTATGAGGGACAGGGCCTTCTCAGTGATGGCCCCCCAAGTTATGGAATTCCTTTCCCTGAGAAATACTATCAGCCCTCACCTTGGTTTTTTATGTGAGCTCTAAAACTGCATTTGTTCACAATGACTTTTAGTGCGGGGGGGGGTTCAATGAGTAGTGAATTCTGTTTTTTAATCTTTACCAGAATTGCTTGCTGGATACATTGGATATCTTGAAATGAATCAAATGCTACAGATGAATAATAATAATAATAATAATAATAATTATTATTATTATTATTATTATTATTATTATTATTATTATTGCTATTATACTTATCATGTTCTATATTTGATATGGTTTTTAATTGCTTAAGGTGCTGTAGGATGATATCCAATTGCACCAGCTTGCTCATGCCGCATAACACAAAAGGCAAATCCAATGGGTGTCTTGTATGTGAGAAAGAGGCTACACAAATCCTAGTTCAACTGCTATTATTATTGCCTCAATAACACTTAAACTTGTGCACCTGTGATACCATTTGCACAAGAACATCAACATTTCACTTGAAAGTGTGCAATTGTGTTTGTAGCCCTGCAGGAAGGAGCTGCTTTTGATTTAATATTTTATGCAGCACTTTTATTTGAAAATGTTATCAAAATTAATTATGGAAATCTATTGTTTTTTACCAAAATATTTTCAAACAGACTAACACATCTTGGCATCATAATAATTAGGATAACAACTTTATATCTCTAGAAGTTAGATTTTAAAAAAAATAAATTTTCAAGATCCCTGCACCAAAGCTAAGCATCATCTACTTTTATGAACCTCTCTTGTTTCGGTGAATTTCTTTGAATTTACCTTCCCTCCTACAGATTCACATCCCAAGTCATTCAGATGCAGGAAGTCAGGTAAAACATTGCCCTTTTTTTCTGAGAGATGAACAGTCATCTTTCTTCAAAAGATCACACTGAATTTTTCGTTTTGTTAAAAATATATTACTCTTCTAAAAGGGAAGAGAAATAAAGTAAATCAAAAAACCCCACCTTGTCACATTAAGCTCCCCCTTTCTTAAAAGCAAACTTGTAATTTGATTAAATAAATAATAGTGATCAAATAAATAACTCCAGAATTTACTGGCTGGAGGAACACAAGGCTACTACAGGTACGGATATTTTCTCAGTACAGGCACAACCCACAATTTGTGTGGAAAGGAAAGCAGCATACTGACTCGCTAATAACAGCGATATGTGACCAAAAGGAGCAGGCAAACGCTGGATCAAACAGCAACTCTACACCACTATAAATGGTAAATGCAGAATGGCCCCATGTGGCTGGCCTTCTGGAGTTCCCTTTTAGCTGTGGCCATTAGAACTGAAGTATCATTTCACCTCATGGATTTAAATCCTCTTTGAAACCCATTTAAGCCAGTGGGCTGTGTCGCCATATCTTGTGGCAGCAAATTCTGTACATTTATTGTAATTTAACAGCAGTTCTGAATCTATGGCGCACTGGTTTAAAGGGTGACCCCCCACTTTCTAGGTTTAAAAGAGAGGGAGAACAGTATTTTCTCTACCTACTTCGTCAAAACCATGCGTAATGTTCTAAAATTCTATTCATGATCATCTATTTGTTGCCTTTTAAGAAAAGGCTTTCCTCCTATGAAAGAAATTCTAACATTTGCTCATTGGGTTTGCCCTTTTCTGCACCGTTTCCAGCTCAATTATATTTAATTTAAGTGTGCCCAGCATTCCACAATTTGGCAACTCAATAGATTTATATAAATGTCTTCCGATGCTGGCAGTTTTATTTTTAATCCCTTTCCTAATGATCCCAAGTATGGAATTTCCCTTTTTCACAGCTTTCTTACATCCCATCAGTATATATATGAAGTTGGAAATCGTTCCCCCTAATGAGTGCTACGTACTTACTTGCACTGAATCTTGTTTGCCATTTTGTTGCCCAATTATTCAGTTTGGAGAAATTATGTTGGAGCTCTTTCCTTGAGTATTCACCTGAATAATCAAGTGTCATCTGCAAATTGGCTACCTCACTGTTCACTCTTTACCCCCAACTCATTTTTGGATGTTAAATAAAAACACTGGTCCACATCCACAATACAGATCCTTGTACTGTTCATTGCCTACTTGCCTCCATTTTGAAACAAGTTTATTCCTTCCATCTGCTTTATGTTTAGCCAGTTACCGAACTAAAAAGAACCAGCCCTATTTACCATGTTTGCTAGGTTTAGCCTGCAACCCAACCCCACTTACCTGGGAGTAAGCGCCTCAGAATTCAATAGGACTTACTTCTGAGAAGATATTATTACTGTTTCAGAGTTACTCATGAGTCTTTTGTCAGTATCTTTTTTCAAAGTCCAAGCATATTATGTTTATATACTTGGACGTCCTCCTGACCAAGTGGAACTGCTGAAAGGTTGCAATTTCTTTTTTGTAAAAACAGTTAAAAGATTACTTTTATTCAGTTATTAATATAAAACCATGCTGATTTTTGTTTTTAATTACAAGGTGGCAAATAAGACGTGATTAATTGTGCTACCATAATTATTTCAATGCAGAGCAATGGCAGTTCAGTTGTAAAAGCTAGTGCTATATATTCTAATAACTATATGCTAATCAATTACAGGCAAAATAGCCAAGTCTTGGCACACTAGCAAAAATGGGAACAAAATAGTTAAATTATACTGAATTGAAACTTTGCACAGTTCACTGAAAAACATGAAATATGGACATTTCTGTGGATATTTTTAAATAATTCAGTCTAAAATATATTTGCCATAACATCTTAAGAGAAATGAATAAAAATCAATTAGTCTTACTCTATTAGTAGTTTTGGTCCACGACAGCCGCTGCACTGTGAAGAGACTAGTGTTTCAAACAGATTGGTGAACAATCCCCAATAAGCAGGTTACACAACCAGTAGACAATCATTAGACTATATTGATTCTGTAAAGGATCTATGTAAACGCCCACCCCCTTCCTCAAACAAACATACAAAAAGAATGTGCAGTCTCTTTATGAATCTAAAATACATTTTTTACTTAAGCAGCGCATTTTAAATTAACCTCGCAAATTGCACGAAGCATGGTGTTTTTGACACATTTTAAACTCATGTTTTCTACCGCGATCCTGGCCTTCACAAACTTTGCTCCTGGAACCATTCCTGGAATGGAAGGTCTCTTTTGCAGTATTAGCAGCACAACAGCCAGAGGATGGACATTCTCATGTAGCGTGGACTTACCTTGGCAGAAAGCCTGTAAGTAATACTGCGTGAGTGTATATATGCACAACATATCCCATCTGCTGAAACAGGAGGCTTGGGTGGTTTTTCTCCTAATAGCAAATTGACAGCATCAGAAGCTGGTCGGTCGCCAGGGCCCTAAGACCATCAGCACTGCAAATGGTTCCCCGCATGCTCCCATTCAGTTTGCAACGAGCAATCCCTCTTGATTTGCTGCGCTCTTCCTTACTTCTTCCAAGATTTGTCCAAGGTTCTTTGAATTTATTAATGTTATATTATATATATATTTATTTATTCCGAGTTTGCCTCTAAAGCGGACAGCTTTTTTTAAAAAAAAGGCTGGGGCAGGGGGGGAGAGACTTACGTTTTACTGACATAAAACCAAAAATTGTCCAGGAGCTATGAAAAGAGAAGTCTTCATACTTCTATTTTCTCTTCTCTATTCACATGTGCCTATAAAATTTAATTGCATGTTTAAAAAAAATCCGGAAATAAAAAAAATGAAAAATTTAACACAGACAAAATTCCATCAGAAGCTAGCTAAGAGCCATTAAAGGTAAAATCCAACCACTTGATGAAATACGAAATATTAAGTCAATTATATCCTCCACTGCCTGTTTTAAATGAAAAATGGCTAAACTAAACAGCTTATCGTATTGCATTTCTTTTTCATTCCTCTTTTCAAGGCAACACCTATGCATAATAATGGGCTTATTTAATTCTGCTCCTTCCTGCTGAGTGTTTGCCTTTAATTCATCCTTATTTTTATGGCATCCTCCTCAGTAATAAGCCATGCATAGGTACTCTCTATCGTGCGCCAACAGATCTCCTGAACTGCCGCAACGGGTACAAATGGGCTCCTAAATCTATTTTATATTATATTAAAACGAATGTCCAAATATTAGTTTAGTGTTAACTGTGATTTTTTTGGAGGTGACTCTTGGCTTTACTTCAATTCTTTAAACCTGCCAAAGGTCTTCCAGAACTGTTTTAGGGTGACATCTTGGAAAGGAGTCAGGGTGGCGAATCCAGAGACGAATAAGCTCTCACGAAAAAGGGTTTTCCTGACTCCCTCTGCCCATTATATCCACTGCCACTCGAATGGTGTGGAATGAGGTGGAGAAGGGGCCTATGCTGAACGAATTCAGAGGGACCAGGCTTGCGCAAGTGGAAGTGCTTTTCTGCCAACGGAGGACATCTCTGAATCCAACCTGAATTTGGTTATTCTGCCTGAACCCAGAAGCTTGGGGCGCGCTGAGCTCAGCACACCCCAAGCTTCGGGCTTCGTGCACCTCTCCGCTAGCCGTGGGAGAGCTGTGCGACTTCACGCAGCTCTCCCACGGCTAGCGGACAGCAGCCTGTTCTGGGGGCTGGGGTCGGGGGAAGCTTGGGCTTCCCCCGCCCCAGCCCCGCACCTGGGGGGGAAATAATTTTTTTTCTTTATTTCCCCCCCCCCAAAAAAAAAAACACCTAGGTGCGTCCTATGGGCCGGTGCACCCTATGGGGCGAAAGATACGGTACTGGCCAGAGAGACAGCATAATGCATTAGCAGCCAGTCCAAGTGGCACTTACAATGAGAAAAACGGTGACACAAGGCTAACACCACATTTCAGATCAGTGTTCCGGCTGCCTTGCCTGCAAAATAGCAAACTCAAAGCAACCGTTTCCAGTACGGCACTAGAGGGCAGCATGGTAACGCAGAGATGATTAAACTGCACGCTGGACAAAAATGATTAAGTCAGGGCTGGCACTGCTGACATGTTTGTAGCATATAAGACAGATGTGTTGTGACAACATTATAGTCTCTATGGGGGCGGGAGCAGTTACCTGCCAACACACAGGGACACATAGTACTGGTGTGCTGGGAAGACGCAATTGGCTACAGAGACGTGGTGCGTGTCCACCACCATGTATCCACATCTCACTTTGAAACACGGTGGTTTGCATTGCACAGGCATTGCTAGAAAACCCTCTGCCATATAACTTCTAAAGGAACGTTTTTTTCAGTCGTGCATTATCTCTTGGAATGTTATCAAAGCTTTTCTAGACCAATGGTTCTCAAAAGCGTGTTGCAAGCTGCATTGGTGTGGCAGAGGAGGGTGGCAAACGTTCAGGGGCAACCAAAGAAACTTTTACTGTATTTTTCGCTCCATAAGACGCACCTGACCATAAGGCGCACCTAGTTTTTAAGGGGGAATGCAAGAAAAAAAATATTATTTAAAGGGAGCACTGAGCAGAGCCTGTATGCATCCCAGGCTCTGCTCAGTGCTCCCTTTCACGAGCTGCATGGAGCATGTGTGCAGCGCTTGCAGGCTTTTCCCCAAGGAGGGAGAAGCCCCAAGAGCCATACATACACTCTGCGTGGCTCTTTAAAGGGAGCGCGGCTCTTGGGGGCTTTTGCAGGAGGTGAGGGAAGTGAGAGAGCCGCGCTCTGTCCCTTCACCCACCTCCTGCAAAAGCCACAGATAGCCACACGAAACCTCCGCAGGGCAGCGAGATGAAGGCTCCCCGCTGCCCTGCGGAGGCTTCATGTGGCTAAGCCAGAAGCTAGTCCAGCGAGAGGGAGCGCTGTGCAGCGCTCCCTCTCGCTGTTCTGGCTTAGCCCACGAAGCCTGCATTCGCTCCATAAGACGCACACACATTTCCATTTACTTTTTAGGATAGGAGGGGGAAAGTGCATCTTATAGAGCGAAAAATACGGTAAACATTTTAGTGTAGTGTAGTATCAAAATATTTTTTATTTATTTGCAGAAAAATGGATAGATATCTTTTCTGACAGATATGAAAGATCAGAAAAAGAAAGGTTTCTTTGTGTTTATGAAGAGCTGAGACATAATATAAATTAATTACCCAGCAAAATCAAGTTCATATCTCTCATTGATCTTATATACATTCTTAAGGTATTGTCAGGGGTTCAGGGACAGAGGCACAGGTGAGGGAGGAGACAGAGAGCGAGGGGGAAGAATCCCAGGGCAGCGAGGAAGAGGATGACGATGACTTGAGGGATTCCGTGAGACTTTCAAGTGAATCGGAGGATTCCCAGAAGGGGGCACCTGTGGTCAGGCCAAGGGGAGTCACAGGGGGGACTCGTCAGGAGCAGGGGACCAGCGGGGGAACCCAAAGTGGGAGCTGGGAGTCGGGACCGGCTTCTCCGCCAGAGCGCAGTGAAGGGGGTGGAGATTCCAGAGTGACAGGAGAAGCAGGTCCGAAAGCAGAGAGGGAGGGGAGATCGGAACAAGACATCCTCCCGGAAGGGGAGGGGAGTAGTGCAGGGAGTAGTGTAACTGTCAAGAGGAAGGTTGGCGGTTGCGAACGCGCGCCAAGTTCAAATGTGGAGGCGCGCGGAAGAACAGGGAGCCCGGAGGAGGAGCCAGGTCCCAAAGCACGAAGGGGGGGGAAGAGCTGTCTGGGGATTCCGCGTCAGGGGAATCCAGGAGGTGCGAAACCCCAGGGGGCAGGAAGACCCTGCGGAAAAGGAAGGAAAGGAAGAGGTGGAGCAGCACAGCCCTCTTAAACTGGTGCAGAGGAGGGACTGACTCAGAGGGGACTTCAGCGGTCTAAGCGTAACAGACGTGGGGCTGCGCGCCTCAGCTGTGGAGCGTACAATGAACTTCAATAAACATTTTTGTATATAAACTGGACTTGGCGTTGGTCTCTTGTGAGCTGGGACCTGAGGCAGCCCTGACAGGTATGCATGTAAGAAGCCAGTCAGATGGGTGGGGTACAAATGTTATTGTTGTTGTCTGCTGTTGTTGTTGTTGTAGGGGGGTGATGATTTCTTATGTTGCTGCATTGTTTTAAATTTTCTGGGTGTCCCATGATTATATTACAAAGTAGTTGTGCTCTACATTATAAATCAAGCGACTGCTAGGAGTTGTTCCTTTTGTTTTCCAATGTGCTTCTTGTCAATTAAAAACTTGTTGTGGCACGAGCAAATGTTTATTCTGAAAGCGTGGCCCAGAGAAAAAAGTTTGAGAACTGCTGGTCTACTAGACAAACACATTTCAGACATGGCCACCTATGCACAGTGATGAACACTGCACCTCCCTAGAGGGTTGGGGTGCAACACGGGGGTGTTGAAACACCCAAAATTGGCAGGGTGGGTGAGTCCACAGATAACTTCCTGGAAGCAGTGAGAACTTCCTCCCATTAATTTCTTCAGTTTAACTTTATATGAGGTCCCAAGGCATGGTACCTGTATAACTGCAGCCAATTTACATCTTAGCGGAGAAAAACACTCTATGTAGAGTCAAACATATTACCGTTATTTTTTTCTTTCCTTAAATTCTTTTAAAATTCTAGGGTTGTAATTAAACTGTAGGGATTCCACCTCTTTGGGGAAGCTGGTAGAAACAAGCAAAAAGAAATTAAGCTCAGAGGAAACAAAAGTTGGGATAAAATTTATTTATTTTTCCCCCCTAAACGCAAAACGATACACAATAATTTCAAATGCTTGGCATACTTTTATTTTTGAGAGCAAAATTGCTACAAACAAAAAATCCTTTATCAATCCAGTCGCTATAAATTAGTTACGTACTTGCATTTGTGTGCTACCAGGAAGCTTATCGCTAGATTAAACATAAATATTGAAGAACGCAACAGAAAACGTATACCCTCAAAGCTTTAAATGTTGGGAACTAAATCAATGGGTCAGTATCAAGTTACAGATAATCCACTCTTGTTTTTGTCATAGTCTCTGGGATGTTACAGAGTCAGGAAACCTATTATACACCCAACCCTGTTGTTTTTGCTTACATAGAAATCCTATTGAATCAACATTGGCAAGATTAGGTTTACAGTCTGATCCCCTGTGTATTGCCTTAGAAGGAACTCCTGCTTTCTTCAGCAGAATACACTACCAACTATGCATAAGACTGCAGTTATTCCAAGTTATCACATGGGCCAGTATTCACTATTTTATGCATGCCCCCACATTCATTTTTCTATCCAAGTTATTTCTAATGAGCAAAGCAGCAGAGAGCTTTAAACCAGGGATGGGGAACTTGTGGCCCTCCAAAATGGTGTTGGGCTGCAAATCCCATCATTCCTGCTGGCTGGGAGTGATGGGAGTGAAATCCAACAATGTCTGGATGGGGAAAGATTATTTACCCCTACTTGAAATGCTACAAACCTCAACGAGAAAGGGAAAAGGGCTTGAATCATAAGTGACTTAGTGATGGATGGTCCGCTAGCAAATTCTGGAATAGCTCTGTGCTGCACAGAAGTTACAACATCCCAACAAGGGGGAACAGATTTAGAAAGCACTCTACCAGCATAGCAATGCAAGCCTAATGCAGAAGTGAACTAGTCATAACAAATAGCCACATTTTTATATCTATTAAATAAGTGAATGCAGTTGTTTATGCATAGGCAGGATTGGCAATATAGATTTGTTAAGTGAACAGCTGTCCTATGCTTCTGTAAAGTTTTAAACCAGGCACCCCCAACCTGTGGCCCTCCAGATGTTTTGGCCTACAATTCCCATGATCCCTAGTTAACAGGACCAGTGGTCAGGGATGATGGGAATGTAGTCCAAAACATCTGGAGGGCCGAAGGTTGGGGATGCCTGTTTTAAACCAATGACTATCTCTGTGGGGAACAACAGCATAAATCTTGTTCCTAAAGTCAAATAGAGATGGTAAACCAATTTTAACTCTTGTTCATGTACTGGACTCAGTCTTGTAGTTCACCCATTATTAATGAACTTCTCAGTTTAATTCCAACGCCAGCAATCTTGAGAAGCCAGCTGAATTAATACCCATTGCTTGAGTGCTGGGATTTGTATCTGGCTTCAGGTGGATTTGTTTGTGCAGATGAACTGGGAAATAAAATGCAAATTTAATTTTAACTTCAACTGTTTCATGTGCTACCTCCCTTGATTTGCAACCAGGCTAGAAGAAATTCAATTGGATTGACTCTATCATGGGATTAAGGCCTCAGTAATAATAATTAAAACTATAGAACTTCATGAAGGGCCAAACGTCAGGTGCAACCAGCTGCATCCTCTGTTGTAAATGGATAACATTCATTAAGTCTGTAGAGTCAACTTACTCCCACAAAATCTTAGCATTCATTTAGCTATGTGCCTACAGTGACAAACGGAAGGATGGGCAAATGATTTTAAAGCATCTTTCAGAATATGAATAACTTAAAAGTTTTCGTGAGTTGCATGACAACTTACAAAGACCTGCTTGGATAATTATTATTATTTTTAAGAAAACAGTAATAGCATGCAAATGTCTAAACACAGTCATGGCAGCTATCTAGGGTGCAGTTCTGTGCAAAATGCACTCATGATTTAATGGAACAACCTGATTCATGTGTAATTCAGAGTAGCATTATGGCTACTGAGATTGCTTTAAACTGCAACAGGCTGGGACTTGATTAACTTTGCTAAATTATTCTGGCCACCAAGCCACAATGCTCAGATCCACTCTGTGCCAAAGGGTACATAAGGAAAATGTAATATTCGTGTTTTCTGTAAATAATTTTGCAATACTCAATTTATAATCTATTAAACACTACCTAAAGAGTTGAACTGGTTTACATCAGTGCTGTATTCCCACTTTAGCAACTGTGTAATGGAAGAGCTAAGGAACTAGTTCATTAGGATTCAGAAAGTGATAAAAGATAAAGTTTACATTTTATCATTATGAACCAGCACAGGACTTAATGTGAGCAATAGAAGGGTAGGCTTTTTAAAAGATAGAAATGGTGGCTATAGGTTTTCAAAAATATCTTCCTAAAATCTACATTTATACCTTCCACTTTCGTTGTAGATCTCCATTAATCTCAACAAGCGATTTGATGGATATTTTCTGCCTAGGGATCTTGTGCAGAACTGAGTTTAAGTCCAACGATTTCAAGAGGTTTAACTATGCTTAATCCTGTGTTGGATTACAGTCAAATTTCTTTAAACCATGTCTCTGTTGACTCTGCTCTTCCCTTCTGAAGGGTGAATATTGATATTTGAAATACCTAGATTATATTTACAGCTGTACAATACTAATATAATATACTTCTAAAAATACCACTATAATACTTTATCAACAAAAGTAACTAGGATAGGTCTTGGAGTTGATTGGCACAAGCACCCTGTGTTATAGATCTTAATGTTGAAGTTTGTCCTTCATTAATTCCTGTGTCCTATTCTTAACATATTTCATGTTCACATGTGCCTACTACTATCCAGGATGATGTGCTGTTCTTTAATCTGTTAGGAAGATTTCCTGTGCCAGCCCAGTTAAAATGAATGAGTCTCATTATTTCAGTGAAAGTTACAGATAGGTAGCCGTGTTGGTCTGCCATAGTCAAAACAAAAAAAATTCCTTCCAGTAGCACCTTAAAGACCAACTAAGTTAGTTCTTGGTATGAGCTTTCGTGTGCATGCACACTTCTTCAGATACACTGAAGAAGTGTATTTCAGTGAAAGTTTGCGCTTGGAGGGATTGCATGGTATAGAAGTGGGCACGCCCCTATTCCTTCCACAAAGTAGCTATCCTTATGGCTAAAACAAGCAAACTGTATTGGAATTCCTTTTTTGTGGAAGAAAAAGAAGCATGTGCTGTGAATTTCCACTTCGTACATGAGGTCACCTGCATGACAGAAGGGAGGGAGCACTGCAAAGATAATACATGAAACAGGGCTTAAAAGAAAGAAAGAAAGAAAAAGCTGTGCTGAATATGAGTGAAGAAAACCCATGCTATGAATACACACACACACACACACACACACACACACACAAATGGAATGGGAAACTTGACATACGCCATGGCTTAATCTTGGAATGTGTATGCATCTCTCTCTCTCTCTCTCTCTCTCTCTCTCTCTCTCTCTCTTTCTCTCTCACACAGAGACATTTTTATGTGTTTAGTTCAGGTTATGTGGATATTCATCCTGCAAAAAATCCTCATATCTGATCTCTCTCTCTCTCTCTCTCTCACACACACACACACACACACACACACACAGACCAGATATGAGGATTTTTTGCAGGATGGATATCCACATAACCTGAACTAAACACATAAAAATGTCATGTTGCTTTTTTGGGTGATAGAACAACTTTGAAACGCTGGCAGAGGTGAGGGTGTTCTGGGATATTTGTCCAGACTAATATGAAGCTTGTTGAAAGATTAGTACCTCATCAACAAGGTACTAACTTTCAAAGAAAAGGCTGATTTGCACATACTGCTAAACCATGATTTGTTTAGCCTAAATAAATTTGTTTGAACGGGTGAACCCAACCCAGCAAATAAACCCTGGTTTATTTTCTGCCAACAAACATGATATGCTTGTGAACCCACGACTCATTTAACTATGGTTTGCTTTATGTGAAAACCTTGCTTAAGCATGGCTTGCTTGGGCACCCCACCCCAAATGCTCATCAGGCTACAAATCACAAGGCAGGAGTGGCTGGGGAACAAGCCAAGCTTTGGAGAAACAAAAGAAACTGAGACAACCCATGGCTTATTAAATAAATCATGGTTAAAACCAACCATAGCTTAGTGTTATGTGCAAACACACACACACACACAAAAACCACCCATAAACAGATAGCAGTTCAGGATTTGTGGACTGCACCAGCTTATTCCGGTACATTAAAAAACCGATAGTGCAGATACACAGCCTAACCTGTACACAAAGCTTGATTCAAAAAATGAGCCGGGAGTGGGGGGCAGGAATTATATTTCTACACATTTTCTTTGTCGAATTCACAAACAAAATTCATTGTAATATGACAGGCGACATCATTCCATCCTCCAGAGGCAATCATTTCTACACAGTCCTCCTCATCATAAGCATTATTTGGCTCTCCGTTGCTCCATTTGTTGAAGGTCTGCATTGGGGACCGGTCGGAGTAAACAAAATGGCCCTCTTTCTCTAGGTCGTTAATGCCAATGAAAACTCGGCTGAGGCCAGCTTGATTGATGTAAGCAGCAATTAGGCTATTGGTGTTTTCATCCTTGGGCATGCTCAGCGTTCCTCCCCTTCCTTGGCAGTAGAGCTGGGCGTCCATGTACCTCTTCTCTTCTTTCACCAGCAAGTAAGTCTTATTATCTGTCTCACGCACACCAGCAACAGCTGCGGGGGAGGGCAGTGCTGAAAAGTGAGCACTTGCATTTCTATAAACCAACTTAATGCATAGCACAATCAACCAGTGATTAAGCAAGCACGATTGCCCCACATGCAAGGAAGGGGAGAATGTTTGTCTGGACATTCTTACCTTTTTTAATGAACTTCAACTCAGTCGTCAGCAAGGTCACTTGGTTATCCATTTTACCAATGGCTGTTCGTAGCTGGCCACATTCGCAAGGAATGCCTGCAGAAAATCCGTGTGCAAGTTACATATGGGCATTTGCACAAAACGTCTCACACTGTTTTCTGGCTACCCAAAATAGTGCATAAAGGTAAAGGGACCCCTGACCATTAGGTCCAGTCGTGACTGAATCTGGAGTTGTGGTGCTCATCTCGCTTTATTAGCCGAGGGAGCCGGCGTACAGCTTCCGGGACATGATTTAGCATGACTAAGCCGCTTATGGCGAACCAGAGCAACGCTCAGAAACACCGTTTACCTTCCCGTCAGAGCGGTACCTATTTATCTACTTGCAGTTTGAGGTGCTTTCGAACTGCTAGGTTGGCAGGAGCAGGGACCGAGCAACGGGAGCTCACCCCGTCGCGGGGATTTGAAGCGCCAACCTTCTGATCGGCAAGTCCTAGGCTCTGTGGTTTAACCCACAGCGCCACCCATGTCCCAAAATAGTCATATTTCATAGTTTTTATCCATTAACTTACTATCCTCTTACTCCAACCCTCTGGAGTAAGGGTAGGCAACCTAAGGCCCATGAGCCGGAAGTAGCCTACGGAGGTCTTTTAGCCAACCCACAAGCCACCCTTGAACCGAGCGCCCACTCAGGGAGTCCCCGTGCGCTGCGCTAAACTGGTGCAGCGTGGCACGGGGACTCTCTTCTGCGGCTCCAGAAATCGCTTCTGCGCATGCCCAGACACCGAAAATCGCTTCTGCACAGGTGCAATTTTCGGCGTCTGGCCATGCGCAGACACAATTTCCAGCATCGCGCTGCACTGGCCCGCCCACGGAGGATCTCTGTGGGAGTGATCCGGCCGATGCCCGGTAAGCCTTGCCGTCCCCTGCTCTGGAGAATACCAATAACGCTGTATTGCAGGTATTGAACCCCCCAGACTGGCTGCTGGTACATACCTATAAGACAGTTGTTTGTGTTCAACATGGTCCATCCCAACACAAAGGGATCACGGGATGGTCTGTACGTCATAGTAAACCATAGTGTGGAATAAACGATGGCAGACTATGAATGAACACCTTGCTGGTAGATGCTGCTCAGTTGCTCCCGCTTTGCAGCCAAGCAATATAAACCACGAGGCCTGCTCTTAGCATGATATGCAAACCATCATTTGTTTCTCCTGAACAACCATGTGTAGTAAGCCAATAAAATCTTGGCTGCACTCAAACAGAGCCCACAGTTTCCTGCTACTATTTAAGATAATCATAGAAATGGCTGTACCCATTCACAATTGCGTTCAAACTAAGATTCTTCTGTGTCTTCCCATACAAAATAGGAATTATGCTGGGGTGGGGGTAGGGGAGTGACCGATTCATAGACATGAGCTGAATTTGAGAGAGCGTAGTACACATCGGTACAAAAAAGACGAGTTGGACTGCTAAAGGCTAATTCACATCTGTATGCATATCACTCGAGTTCAGTGGTTAATCTAATATTATGGCTGCTGAAATATTCTATCTTAAAAAACCGTATTATACAAGCTTATACAAACTATACATAATTTCACATTTATTAATTAGGACCTTAAATTGGATGTTAAGACATTAAAACCAGTGCTAATATGGTTGGTTTACCTGGATCTCCATTAGGACCAGGTGGTCCTGCATCCCCATTATCTCCTTTTTCTCCTAAGAAAGGGAAAATAAAGTTAAGCTTCTCAGCAGATAGCTTCAAGTAGAAACAATAGCCTTTATCTTATACACTGACACCAGAACACCACTTGTATGGGGGTTTTTAAGCCTTGCCAATGCTGACCTATGTGAAGGAAACTCAACCTCATTTATTTGTCATGATCATCGCATATCGCTTTGTCGTAATCATGGTCAATCATCTCTTGTTCCTTGCAGAAAAAACCTCAAAATAATTTAAACAACTTTTCAGAAATAACCACCTAACAAATATTGAATGAAAACATACCTTTTGAACCAATGGGGCCAATTTTTCCATGTCTCCCTATGCTTCCCTTCTGTCCTTTGTCCCCTGTTTCTCCTAGAGGAGGAAAAAACAAAACAAAAGACAAAATAAATGTAAATTTTTACATATACCCTCAGTAGTCAGAGACTATTGAGAGACAATGGAGTCTGCCTCGAGGGGTGAAATCAAACTGCTGTGTTAGCAACACGAAAGTGAGCTCCCTGGGGCACAAGCCTGGGCAGTATGTATGGGGGCTACCCAGACAACAATACCCCCCTCTTGGCCTCACTACCCAATACCCAAAAGCATCATGTAGTCCTCAGTCAGAGTTGCCAGAGACTAAAATTAGTTCAAGCCCCACTGAAATGAATAGATCGTGCCCTCATAACCACAGGTCTGAGATTACAGCCCTTTCATTTCATCTATGCTAAGCAGACTACACGGCTGATCTTTTCCCTGTATGCATTCAAAGTCTTTATTAACGAGGGGTGCACATCAGCCTCAGGAAGATACCACGAAATAACTATCTGGAGCCTCACAGCGGGAAACAAGAAGGTTTTTCAGTTTTAATGGCAGTGTTATACAGCATTTTACAGTGGAGCTGTAGCAAAACGAGCCTCTTAAAAAATTGGCTGCCTCAGCAAATTCTAATGAATAAGAGATAAATATGCACATTGCAGCACAAATCAGATATAAATATTGTCAACAACACTTCAGCATCTGGCCATCTTTTTCATTATTTGCCCAGGTTTTCTATTATGCATGCAACAGAAATGGTTGCAGGAGCTTAGATTCACTGTGTGTGTGCGCGCGCACCTTTAATGTATGTTATTGGACCATAAAGAAGGCTGATCGCCAAAGAATTGATGCTTTTGAATTATGGTGGTGGAGGAGACTCTTGAGAGTCCCACGGCGTGCAAGAAGATCAAACCTCTCCATTCTGAAGGAAATCAGCCCTGAGTGCTCACTGGAAGGACAGATCCTGAAGCTGAGACTCCAATACTTTGGCCACCTCATGAGAAGAGAAGACTCCCTGGAAAAGACCCTGATGTTGGGAAAGATGGAGGGCACAAGGAGAAGGGGACGACAGAGGACGAGATGGTTGGACAGTGTTCTCGAAGCCACCAACGTGAGTTTGACCAAACTGCGGAAGGCGGTGGAAGACAGGAGTGCCTGGCGTGCTCTGGTCCATGGGGTCACGAAGAGTCAGACACGACTAAACGACTAAACAACAACATTGTTCAATAGCACCCAAAATGAGCAGAAGAATGAAAAAACATGGATTGTTTTGTGTAGATCTCATTCCAAGAAGAGCACACACTAGTACGGAGGTAACCAGTTTACACAAGTTGCCTAAGAATAACCTCTGCCTGCTCAGAAGCTCCCAGCAGGCTGTAGCAACCATGAATTCTGGTGAGCTATATTCCAAGAACCCCCATTACAACCATCTTGTTTCTTATTTGGTGCTGCAGGGAGAAGACCTGTAGTGGCAGATTGTAAGTGAACAGGCAGAACATGCAAACAAAGAGCCTGAATGGTTTTTTCCACTTGACCAGTAGCTGCTACAGTAATCCGAAGGCTTCTGGGTGCATGGACGCTTCCCTCCCCAGTCCTGAATTGTTTTATAATGCAATCCTGTACACGTCTACTCAGAAGTATGGGGTTCATTGCCAAGAAAGCATGTATAGGGTTGCAACCTCAGGCCCTGAGTCAACCTGGAAAAAACGGTGAAAAGGACACAAAACAAATACTTAAGCATTGCTAGCAATATTTGTATCCAGTTTGTGCCTTATTGTGCGTATGTCCCTTATTCATGACAAATAGCTGAGATAGCCAATTTTTTAAGAGGCTCGTTTTGTCACAACTCTGCTGTAAAAATGCTGTACAGCATTGCCATTAAAACTGAAAAACCATCTCGGTTCCTGCTGTGAGATACCAATACTAATTTTGTGGCATCTTCTGGCGGGCATATTTGAGGCTGCTGCAATGCTCATCATGAACACAGGAAAAATTCACAACAGTCTTCTGTGACTAGATAACAGAAACAGCAGTCTCATCAGCCAACATTTTGGAACCCAGCTTGAAGCTCTCATCCATGCGTGGAAAAATTAGAGTGATTATATAGGACGCTTGTGTACATATGACAGGGTGAGTTGCATGTAGGAAGATAGAAGCTCTTGTAACAGATGCAACCAAATAATCCCTATATTCAATACAAAATTGAGTTGTGTGAAAGGGTTCAGTGCATTAGACCAGTGGTTTTCAACCAGTGTGCCATGGCACCTTGGGGTGCCTTGAATGATGTTGAGGGGTGTCACGGGCAACACTGGCCTCTGTCTCTCTTTCCTTCCCTCTCCCTTCTGATGTGGATGTTTGAAAAAGGGTGAGAAGCTGCCATCTCTGCAGACAAGAGATGAAATAACTGGGCTCCTGAGCCCCACAGGGGTGCTGCAGAAAGAATGTACAATGGTACCTTGGGTTACATACGCTTCAGGTTACAGACGCTTCAGGTTACAGACTCCACTAACCCAGAAATAGTACCTCGGGTTAAGAACTTTGCTTCAGGATGAGAACAGAAATCGTGCCGCAGCGGCAGCAGGAGGCCCCATTAGTGGTGCTTCAGGTTAAGAACAGTTACAGGTTAAGAACAGCCCTCCAGAACGAATTAAGTACTTAACCCGAGGTACCACTGTAGTTGGTCAAGGGAGCTGTGGTCTCAAAAAGGTTGAAAACCTCTGCATTAGACAATAGAACAATATACTTCCAGCTAACATGATCCTTCATGGATCTCTGGCATAGAAACAACCCCCTCTTTAAACAAACAAAAACCATTATAAAAATATCTTGCCTGAAGAAGAGTTCTGTCCAACCTGAGAGTTTGCATCATTCATTCTGAACTGTGATTGATCTTAATAAAGGACTTGTTTTTTAGTAGTCCTGTGTTTTCTGATCCTTGAGGTTCACTCACGTCTTTGGGTCTCAATATAAAGCACTTAAAACTAGTATCACTTATTAATTTAAGCCTAGGCAGCTCTTCTGGCAAGCTGAAGTGTGCAATGGAAATTCAAAAGAAGGAAGGCAGGAAGATTTCTCCATCCTTAGACCTGTCAGAGGGTCACCTGACATTCTCTACATTGGAACTCTTTGCAGAAGCAACCCTCACTCTTCTTAGGAGTAGTACCCAACAAAAGTTGTTAAATTTGCAATTAAAAATAAATAATAATAATAATCAATATCGTTATTATTGATGATGATGAATCAGATGCCCTGTGTTTTAAGATTGCGATTTACTGTTTTATCCAATTTCTTTTTAAAAATGGAACAATTATTGTATGTGTATTCTTAAAAAAAAAATCATAATGCAACAAAATTGACAAGTATAACATTAACTGGTATTCAGAGGTTCTTAACTATTTCTTTCGTTTCTTGCAAAGCTGTTTACCGTTGTTATGGTGAGCTTGAGTGTGTGGGGGGGGGCAGAAACTTTATACCTTCTCTAAAGCCAAATGCCACATTTACTTTTTGTATTTATTTTCTAACTACTCCTTCCAGGTCTCTCTCAAAGAGCTCCCAGTGCTCTAAGTCCAGAAGAAAGGTCAAATAAAAGGGGTCAGATAAATTGGTTTCTGGTGTGCAATTGTTCTCTCATAAGATTTCTTTACAATGAAAATAGCCTCTTATGTCTTTTTAATAATACTCACAGAGAGCCTAAGTATTTTAGAACTTACAGGCCTGGCACAAATGGAATTACAGAAATGCTTGTGCAAGTCCCAAAGCATCATTATAAACATAAACCATTGGCAGATCGGCCAAGGAATTACTTTCACACACCCCTCCCCTTGCTCCAGGCATTACTGGCCCCCCGCAATACAGTCTGTTCACTCTGGCTGCTTCCTGAATGTGAAAAATACCTTTCCTTAGCTAAGTCTGGTATTACAAGAAAGCAGGGTCCTGCTGGATTTTGGTTTTGAGAACCCTCTCTCATGCCAGAACTCTGCAAAAAGCAGAACTGAAGTACAGTGGTACCTCAGGTTACATACGCTTCAGGTTACATACGCTTCAGGTTACAGACTCTGCTAACCCAGAAATAGTGCTTCAGGTTAAGAACTTTGCTTCAGGATAAGAACAGAAATCGGGCTTCGGCAGCGCAGCAGCAGGAGGAGGCCCCATTAGCTGAAGTGGTGCTTCAGGTTAAGAACAGTTTCAGGTTAAGTACGGACCTCCGGTACGAATTAAGTACTTAACCTGAGGTACCACTGTACCTGCTCAATCAGTTGATGCACATAGATCCACTGGAAGTTCAGTTCTGCTTGGTCACTATCTCCCACCACACCTATAGGTCAACTTTGATAAGTGGGTGGGACCACTCATGTCACTCAGCTGACAACAGGTGGGGTGTGTTTTTTTAAGCAACAGCCTGCCAGGCCAAATTGGTCTGTGGACCAGAGGTTTCCCCAGTATCCTGATTCCAACAGTGGCAAGCCAGATGCATCCAGGAAGCCAACAAGCAGGGCAGTGGCATAGCAGGGGTTGCCATGCGGAGGGAGGGAAACAAGATGGAGTATGCATGTGCGTTCAACTGCCTAACGGCATCCGTGTCGCCCAGGAGATTGCAGCCACAGAAATAAGAAAAGAGTCATTCTGGAGAGATCGCTTCCTGGTTCGCATGGAGAAGCAGTTTTCAGTGGAGCCTAGCGACAGCTGTATTGAGGCAGTACTGGGTGTTGAAATTCTGCACCTCTATCAATTTTGTGCCCGCGGCAACCTCCCCTGTGGCTCCCCATCAAGCTACGCCACTGAGCAGGTGGTTTGTTCTCCACGACTGGTATTCAGACCATCTCTGAACAAGCTCTCATCACAAATATTTGGGATTCATGAGGAACAGCCATAATTCCCATATGCTCCAGGGAAAATGTAGTTGGAAATCGTATTCAAACAAAGAAATATTTGCTCCAAGGGAAAGCAGCAGCATTTCCACATATTTTATAGCTTCTACAGGTATAAGCGGCTTTATCTAGCAGCACTCCCTCTGGTGATGGAGGACAGGGCAGGAATTCCAATGCTTTTGATTGCATCACAGAAGATGGAATTATGATGCCAGGAAAACTTAAGGCAGAAGAAATGTTAGGTTCCTGGCTCTCAGTTCTTGCATTTCCAGATGCTATGAGCCATTTCTTCTCTTTTGAGAACACTGGACCCGACAATACTGCCAGAAAGCCTGGTATACATGATGCCTTATGAGGAACGGCTAAGGGAGCTGGGCATGTTTAGCCTGGAGAAGAGGAGGTTAAGGGGTGATATGAGGGGTATATGATATAAGGGGGTGATATGATAGCCATGTTCAAATATATAAAAGGATGTCATATAGAGGAGGGAGAAAGGTTGTTTTCTGCTGCTCCAGAGAAGCGGACACGGAGCAATGGATCCAAACTACAAGAAAGAAGATTCCACCTAAACATTAGGAAAGAACTTCCTGACAGTAAGAGCTGTTCAACAGTGGAATTTGCTGCCAAGGAGTGTGGTGGAGTCTCCTTCTTTGGAGGTCTTTAAGCAGAGGCTTGACAACCATATGTCAGGAGTGCTCTGATGGTGTTTCCTGCTTGGCAGGGGGTTGGACTCGATGGCCCTTGTGGTCTCTTCCAACTCTATGATTCTATGATTCTATGCCCTCTACTCAGCACTAGGAAATAAACAGTTTCGTGAAGAGTAACCTCCATCACCTCCCTCTTTAAAAAAATACTGACCTTTTTCTCCTGGAGGTCCAACTCTTCCTGGGCGGCCTGGGGCACCTTTCTCCCCCTTTTCTCCAGCATCCCCTGTTTTGTAGTTAAAAAGAAGATACAATAACAACAACAACATGCTTGGATTCTCAATATGAACAAGCCTCTTGATTTGCAGTGAAAATTACAATAAGTAATAGGAGTGGACGGCATTCAAACTCAGTGCAGATCCACTGAAATAATTTTGCAATTGATACCAAAGGGCCCACTGTGAGCATAACTGAGTATAAGATCACTCAATGTCATTTGGGTGTCAGTGTGTGCATGTATGTCTAGATATAAGAAGAACCACCTGGTGTCAAGGGTCTGGTTGGTTGTGTTTGCTCACCAACCTCGGCTTTTGAACTCCACCATTTTTTAAGTTTCCAGAGGGATTTTCCAGGTAAAAGTTTAAAAGATATAATGAAGAGTAGGTCTCTTCCCTAAGGTAATTACATTCAAGCCTGGTCAATGGGAAAAGGCCAAAGGTAAAGGGAGAGAGTGTAAATGCAAGAGGAAAAGAACTGGCTTGTCAGAACCTAATGAGGTCTTGAGAATGGCAAAAGAGAATAGAAAAAAAGATGCAGAAAGTTCAGTTTTGGAAAACAAGAACAGCATGGTCACAGAACATTCAGATACATGTCACCCATGCAATGGGAATGCAGTTAGTAAACTTCGGACAGAGCCTCTGCGTTTAGTCATGGTTTCCATTCTATTATCAACTTAAAAACAACAGCAACAATACATGATAAGACATTCAGACACACAAACTAATATAAAGCACTAACCATTAGAGAAATGCAACATTTAAACGGTACCATAGGTCACTAGAAAATGTAGCAGTGGAAACTCTGGGATGTTCTCAAATGTCTTCATTGATCAATAGCCCTCCTTGTGAAGGAAAATGTGGATAATGTACTGCTGTGTGTACAGTACAGGCCTTAGAAAAACGAGCCATGCCCTTAGCCATGGCTCCAACAAGGTTACCTGACACCTTTTGCCTTTGTGAGAATGCAGCCTCTGCCACAGGGCCATTCCAGATGTGAAGTGGGTACTTTTTTGAACTTTGCTGTAGCATCAAAGGCACCTCACCGACATCCTCCAGAAAAAGAAATATGATTGCTCCAAAGTAGTAAGACTCAAGGCTGCGGAGAAGCTGAGGGCATGAGCTGGATTTCAGCCAACAGATGAAAGGCTCCAAATCTCATTAGCACTCCTCTAAGCTAGCCAGCTACCCCCCTGACAGTTTAGATCAGGCACTGATGGCTTTTTAGAGATTTTATATTAGCTGTGGCCTTCGCAGGCCATTTTGTGCTTCACTGAATTTCTTCATCAATCTCCTTCACTATTATGATTATAGCTTCTAATTAGGTAGGATATGTGGAGCCATGAGCAGATTTGGGACCCATCTCCCTCTCTTTCTCAGGCAGAGATAGACAGATAGTTCAGTGTTTTCTGATCATTTGAGGAATATGAGATTGTTGGAACTCATTAAACAGCCAGACCGGTGCATGCTAATAACCATCATTTTTAGCATTTGTGCGGCAATATATAGAAGGGCTTTCCCCCGAAACGTGGTTTTGTAGTTTTATCTAGAGGTAATGCTTTGACTTTACAAACAGGGAAACTAAGATAGAGTAGTTAAGATGCTCTTCCAAGGTCAAAGAAGGCATCAGTAGATCAAGATTAATGACCCCATCTACCTAGTCTGTGCTCTGCAGAATAGACTATTCCTTTCTATAAATATGCACTGTATTAAATCTCGTTAAGAGACAACCAGTCCCAATTTAACACTGCTCTCCATTTTCTCTAAAGTGCTGTGCTACCTGTTTGAATAAAAGCATCCTCCTAAATTCAGGCATTGCATTTGGATAGTTTCATCTTCAAGGTGTTGAAATCAGGATTTTGGCTTGGGCAATGGCATTCTGGAATATAAAGGCAGAATGGGCAAGGTCTTTCTCACCACACACACACACACACACACACACACAGTCAGTACATACCATTCTTCCTTCACAAGAGTGACTCATACCCCAGCCCAGTTTATGCACAGTAGGCAGGGACAGAGCATTGCCACCTTTTCCTCCTGCAGAAGGAGCAGCCACATTATACTCCTCTCTACCTTTCCCTGTCTTCACTGCAAAAGACATTTATCTTCCACTGCATAGTGCTTTAGGGGCCTTTCTCATACCTATATAACACATGTGCCATGATGCCAACAAGCACATGCTACACATTAGGTAAAGGGACCCCTGACCATTAGGTCCAGTCGTGGCTGACTCTGGGGTTGCGGCGCTCATACTGCTTTATTGGCCAAGGGAGCCGGCGTGGAGCTTCCGGGTCATGTGGCCAGCATGACTAAGCCGCTTCTGGCGAACCAGAGCAGCGCACGGAAACGCCGTTTACCTTCCCGCTGGAGCGGTACCTATTTATCTACTTGCACTTTGACATGCTTTCGAACTGCTAGGTTGGCAGGAGCAGGGACCGAGCAACGGGAGCTCACCCCATCGTGGGGATTCGAACTGCCAACCTTCTAATCGACAAGTCCTAGGCTCTGTGGTTTAACCCACAGCGCCACCCGCGTCCCTTGTAATGCTACACATTAACTAGGGTCTATTTCTGCAGGCGGGACGCCAACCTAGCAGTTCGAAAGCACCCCCGGGTGCAAGTAGATAAATAGGGACCGCTTACTAGCGGGAAGGTAAACGGCGTTTCCGTGTGCGGCTCTGGCTCGCCAGAGCAGCGATGTCACGCTGGCCACGTGACCCGGAAGTGTCTCCGGATAGCGCTGGCCCCCGGCCTCTTGAGTGAGATGGGCGCATAACCCTAGAGTCTGGCAAGACTGGCCCGTACGGGCAGGGGTACCTTTACCTTTATTTCTGCAGGCAGGGGACGCGGGTGGCGCTGTGGGTAAAACCTCAGCGCCTAGGACTTGCCGATCGCATGGTCGGCGGTTTGAATCCCCGCGGCGGGGTGCGCTCCCGTCGTTCGGTCCCAGCGCCTGCCAACCTAGCAGTTCGAAAGCACCTCCGGGTGCAAGTAGATAAATAGGGACCGCTTACCAGCGGGAAGGTAAACGGCGTTCCGTGTGCTGCGCTGGCTCGCCAGATGCAGCTTGTCACGCTGGCCACGTGACCCGGAAGTGCGGATAGCGCTGGCTCCTGGCCTATAGAGTGAGATGAGCGCACAACCCTAGAGTCTGGCAAGACTGGCCCGTACGGGCAGGGGTACCTTTACCTTTACTATTTCTGCAGGCGGTCTGTACACGTGGCATAACTGTATACTACTGGCTTAAATTTAGTTGAATAATCCTTCCCTCTTGAACTGTAGATCTGTAACGAGTACGGTAACTCGAGCAAAACTCTGCCTCAAACTGCAATTCCAAAGATCCCTTGTGGCAAATCCGTAACGATGGTCTAACAACGATATAAACTTACGGCACATATATGCCCAAGGGGTACACACCGTAGATGTAAGCTGCCCTTTTGTGTGCTGCCATTTCATTGGCTTGAATTTGTTTTATCATTTGCATGAGAAGGCCTTAATGCTTAAGTACACTGGGACAACAAATTAAACTAGGTGGCAATCGGCAAGAACAGCAATGCAAAAAAGTGACGTCCTTATACTTTGAGAATGAAATGTTGAAGACATTAAGCAACCAAAATGTAAATTTCCTTCATTTGCTAAAATACCAAAGCATGAATATTTAACAACTGCTGCAACGCTAGCTAGGTGTGTTTACTTCCTGTAGTAGTAGTAATAATAAATAATAATATTTTTATTATTTATACCCCACCCCCCATCTGGCTGGGTAAAAACAAAGCACTCAGCCATAATGCTTAAAGCATGGGATCTGGCATCACATTTCTTAAATAATTCCAGTTTATTCCAACTGGCCCTTTATTTACTTTCCCTCTTTTTTAAGTGTAGCGGCCTTAAGGTCAGAGGCAGAATGTTCAGGCACGACAGTTCCCAGAAAATGTTTTGGAAATGTTAAAAGGAGGGCAGAAGGAGGGTTGGTAGGCCATACTAGCTAACCCTAGGGAGAATGAAGTCAAGAGACATGCCAAGTAGTTTCTCTGAAAAACATGTTCCGCAAGCACTACAACTGTTGATCCAAAAGGATGCTTCAGAGAGACTCGAATTCCTTGTGTTGCACCATCATAATAGGTTGTCGTTCTTTTCCACAGGTGACTGCAGCTGTGTCTTTAACAGCAGCTCAGTGCACAAACTTTAGAAGATGGTGCTTCTTTCCATGTAGCTTCATCTACTGATTTATGCATATCAGGCCACTGTTAAATGCACTGAAACAGCCATGTAGGAGGCATCTATTTATTTATTTTCCTAGTCGGTGAGCAACTCTAAATCACCAGACATGTAGTCCAGGATCGGGTGGAATTAAAGAATGCATCAGCTGATCAGCAGTGATCTAAGTGACAAATTCACTTCAAATATATAAAGGTAAAGGGACCCCTGACCATTAGTTCCAGTTGCAGATGACTCTGGGGTTGCGGTGCTCATCTCGCTTTATTGACCAAGGGAGCCGGCATACAGCTTCCAGGTCATGTGTCCAGCGAACCAGAGCAGCGCACGGAAACGCCATTTACCTTCCCGCCGGAGCTGTACCTACTTATCAACTTGCACTTTGATGTGCTTTCAAACTGCTAGGTTGGCAGGAGCAGGGACCGAGCAACGGGAGCTCACCCCGTCGCAGGGATATGAACAGCCACCCTTCCAATTGGCAAGTCCTAGGCTCTGTGGTTTAACCCACGGTGTCACCCGCATCCCTTTTTCAAATATATAATGCAGGCCTAAAAGAAAATTCTACAGCATTCTTAACAAATGATCTGAAAATGCAACTACAAATTGGATTTAGCACCAGTATGCAGAATTCCAGAACAGGCTACATGCCAGCCTAAATGGAAATAGGGAAGCACACCTTTGTGCAGGTCCCCTTGAAATTCTGCCATCAGGAAATCTTCCAAATTTCACAACGCTTTTCACATTACAATGCTTGGGGGGAGGTTACGGCAGGCATGGGATGCCCGAAGCCAGATGCTGCTGGACTACAATTCCCATCGTTCCTGACCAGTGGTCATGCTGGCTGGTGCTGATGGCAGTTGGAGTCCAGCAACATCTCGAGGGCTACAGCTTTCTCAGCCCTGTTTAGACAGAGAACTAAGGGTGTGGGTGTGCAGTGATGTTTAATCACCACCACCATTAAAAACTCTCCCAGGTCTTGCCTACAATTCCAGTGATTTCTTTACCTCCCTACCATAAGACTAAAAGCTCCTTCCCCTACAGAGGTGAAGCCTTAGAAAAACGAATATGCACATGTAATTTCATAGAATCACATAATTGTTGAGTCAGAAAACACCCCCAGGGTCATCTAATCCAACCCCATACAATGCAGGAATAACAGCTTAAAGAATCCCTGACAGATGACGATCTAGTTTTTTTAATAGGTAAAGGTAAAGGGACCCCTGACCATTAGGTCTAATCGTGGCCGACTCTGGGGTTGCGGTGCTCATCTCACTTTATTGGCCGAGGGAGCCAGCGTACAGCTTCCGGGTCATGTGGCCAGCATGACTAAGCCGCTTCTGGCGAACCAGAGCAGCGCACGGAAACGCCGTTTACCTTCCCGCCGGAGTGGTACCTATTTATCTACTTGCACTTTGACATGCTTTCGAACTGCTACATTGGCAGGAGCAGGGACCGAGCAACGGGAGCTCATCCCATCGCGGGGATTCGAAGCACCGACCTTCTGATTGGCAAGCCCTAGGCTCTGTGGTTTAGACCACAGCGCCACCTGTTTAAGAAAAAACCTCCAGTGAAGGAGAGTCTACCACCTTCTGAGCTCAAGTTCAACTTTTTTATTCCCCATGTTCTGTGCATTAGTATAAAGACAACTAAAACCATAAATCATTTCCTCCAGCAGCTTCCTTATTGGTTTTTCCTGCCCATTAGCAAGTTCCTGTACTACTGACCCAGTTTCCTGTACACCAATGAAGTTATTGTCCCCAGTACTTGGTGTGTCCCCTGTCCTCTAAAATATTATCTCCCCCTTTCAGGGTTCAGTTTAACACTCTCCTGATCAAGTTTGTGAAACTCCTAGTAAACGCATTCTTGCCAACCAATGGAAAACACCTAACAATCCCGAAAGCAAGCTCAGCAAACAAAAATATGACTGGGTGGGATCGGGGGAACTTCATTGGTCATGAAAATAGATTCCCATTACCTTTTAGGCCTGGAACCAGAATCTGAACAGAGCAGGATTCTTCTGCAATATGCTGAGCATATCCAGATGTTGGCAGAGACAGGAAGGCAAGGCTAATTACAGAGACAAAGAAAACCAGATCACTCTTCATAATGAGCTTGTCCCTTACTCCTAAAAGGAAAGAATGAATAAACAGTTAAAAGGAATTCCAAAGACTTCCAGTAGTTCCAGGCGGTGTTTGCAGTGTTCTACAGTCCAGTGCCTCCTACCTTTGCAGCATGTAAGCAGCTTATCATGTACCTTGTGTTATGCGGTGTATAGAGTCGAGTTCCACAGGACGTCATTTGCTTAACTGTGCAGAAAAGCTATATCAGGGGTTCTCAGACTTCGTCAGAGAGTCTTTGCAAAGCAAAGAAATATTCAAAACCTCCCAAGTGCAACTGAGAAAAGGGGCCTTTGCCAAGCCAAAGCTCACTCTTGTCCTCAGCCCAGGAAAAAAGTTCAGACTAACAGATCAAAAGAAATGGAAAGGCAAGGCTGAAGAGGTTTAAGGTTCCCCAGGGAAGGAGGGCGAAGAGAGAGGGGGACTCGCACACTACAGACAACACAGCAGGCAGTCACAGAGTCCTATACTGCACTGATTGGGAGGAAAAGGCTGGCAGCCAGTCTCCAAGCCCAATCAATGCATACGGTGGGAGAGGTCAGCTCACGGTTCCCTTAGGGAGGCCCGAATTGCATTTTCAAAACCGCTATGAGAGTTCAACTGAGGGAAATGAAAGTCGCTTAGGAACAGATCCCAAGAATGCATTGGGTGAGACGAACCTAATGAAAAAACTGCCTTAAATTGTTTTGTTTTCCACTGCTTTTCTTGCTTGCAAGCTCAAGAGGAAGAACAAACGTCAATTTCTTCCTGAATTAGCATGGGAAAATGGATTGGGGCTGTCTTGGTTCTAGGTGGCCTCCACTGAATTCTATGAGATAAAAGAGGCACTGGCATCACTAATGGCAGGGAATGAAGATGGAGTAGGGTTTGGGGAAAAGGACTGGAACTCTCTGTTCTGCCTCCACCTGTCAAACCTGGTGTGCATTTAGGTAGTGTATATTCCTGAGGACTGCTATCACTTCTAGAGAGGCCCAGCTCGCTAATCCGAGATCTGCAGAGGGCTCAGTGCAGTTACTCACTACTGTGGCAGTTTCTTAATAAACTTTCTTTAAAGTCTGAACCCTGACACTGAAACAGGCCTCCTCCTAAACCTCCTACCTTGCTTTAACCATTGTTCTTCAGCCTGTCAACCGATGTTATTGAACTACAACTCCTGTCATCCTTTACCATTGGCTGGGGATGATGGGAGTTGAAAAACAACATTTGGAGACCCAAGGTTGAAGAATAGTGGCTTAAGATATTGTTTGCACGCAGCTGAAATATTATGTGAGGAGTACATATGGGGAGCTGCACTGCTGCCCATCCAGGATGATTAAGACTGTCCACAAAAATATAGATGGCGCAGGTGGTTGAATAATGGGGCTACTGACTCAGCATCATGGCTGCAGGGCTCAAAGTGTCCAATAACCACTGGTACCTAATATTAGGCCTGGCCATGGGATGGCTGGGAAGAGCAAGAAGCAACTTACTTTTCCTCCTTGCTTTTGTAGGAGCTGACCACTGCTTTCTTTAAATGCATCCTTTCCCAACCTGGTGCCTTCCAGATGTTTTGGACTACAGCCCCAACCAACTCCAGCAAGTATTGATGCCCTGCCTGGGGCTGAGGAGAAATGCAAGCCAAACATCTGCAGAGCACCAGGCTGGGGGGAAGATGGATTAATCCCAACTTCATTTCTTCCCCCGGGTCTGTTAGTTCCCTCAGCCCCACTGCACTTCCAGAGCAGCTTAACATATCATGCTTGCTTTCCGCAAACGTGAGATGAGGAGAAGATTGCTAGGAGCCTCAAAGCCCTGGATCCTACCTCCTTTCCTTTATAGTCTTCCTAGTCCAGGTCGCTCCCATCAGCAATGGCTACGAGACGGCACCCAGAACTGAGAGATTAGTCTGAGGTGACTTGGGTACCTCAGAAATACTTGCAGCGCCATCGCAGCATCTCTCACACACCTCAGAGACCATTTAAGGGATCTTTATTTGTCTTTTTTCCTGTTTCCACATACATTTGTCCTCTTCTCCTTCCACTTTTCAGTTCTCCACAACTAACCACCCCCCCCTGCCACAGCCATTATTCTTTTCTATTCTCCTTTGACTTGACACCACCACCAACCCTACTCACCCGGCATCCTTCCTCTTTTACTCTTTTTTTAATCTTGTTTTTGGGGGTTTCTACTAGGCCTTTCACCGCCCCCTCTTTTTGTTTTTGTTTCCATAGGTATTTCTCAGAAGCAGATCTTAATTCAAGTCAGGGCTTCCTAGAACTCCTTTCAAGCATTGGGCTCCATTCTGGAAAATGAGGAGGATGACTGTGAGAGTTTCTCCCTCAGTCCCAGATAGTTCTTCACAGCCAGCAACCACTCTTGGAATCATTTCCCAGTCAGAGGCTATAATTTTATAGGCAGCCTTGAAGCCTGTCACTTTTTAATTAAGTACTGCCTGGAAGAGGGTGTGTAGAGGCCAGGTCAGGAAGGAAACCCACCAGAACCCACCAATGGGAAAGAGCATTTTCCATCTCTGTTGCTGCTGTTTCCATCTCTCCCTCCCTCCAATCTGACTCTTAGAAAATCTCACCGGTTCCAAAAGTTTCCAATGTTTTTTGCACCCATGCAGATCACACCACGCCTTCCTCTAAGATGTTGGCCAATACCATTTAATTACTGCCACCTTTTTTTCCTGGCAAGACTTAGCTGTCTTTAACAGCAGCATGGCAGGCAAAAAATTAAGCCAAGCATATTCAATATGCCTTACTCTGTTTAAAGGGGGAAAAAAGAAAATCGAACAGTATTATTTTTGCGGCTCAGCAATGTGGAGAACAGAGCTGCCATCCTTTTGCTACGCTAGAAGGACATATTACGAGTTGGGAAAGGTTTTGCTTAGCATTTATCTGTGCTATTTTCCCCTTAGATTTATTAGTTTGCTGCTGTGAAGACAGCTCATTTTTGGTCTGCTACCCCTCAACACCAACTCCACCCTATGAGCTTACTTTACACTCTCTACAGACTGCAGTAAATATTCAAGTGACTACTACGCCATCTGTAAAAAGACACTGCAGCATGTGTGCTTTTCAAGAACTGTTAAAAACTAAATCCAGAAACTATACTCCTCTACTGAACGTAATGTGCTCTCTCTTTAGCTTAGCTTCCATCAAAAAATAAAAAAATGCTACACCACTGTTAATCCAGCCTTAAGTTTACCACCCACTCCACTGAGCAAGTGTATGTGGCCCCACAATCTATCTTCTTATCTCAGGCTTTTGAAGCATCACCTACCTTACAGTTGCTGAGAAAACAGGCACCGTAGCACAACCTCTGCCTGGAGGGACACTGCGCAGATGAACCTCATTGCTACTATTTACAAAAGCCTGATAGTTTTTAATTTGAAGCGAACTCGTCTCCTGCTCTTCGGCATCCAGCAAATCAGACCCAACAGTTGCAAGCGTTATCTATAAACAGCTTCCTGTTTGAAACAGCTCAGCTGTCCAGCAGGACAGTAATTAGGAGCAAAATGTGTGGGAACGCTACAGCGACCCATGATGTAAGCTGCTTCTTTTGGCAATGCGCTTTTTTTGGGGAATGCAGAATGCCTCTCCGTTCACAACTCTCCTTCCCATGAAGAGAAATCCTTGGTTAACCATTTAGGTCTGGCCAGTTGCAGTAATGTAAACAGGATCCAGCTAGAGCAAAGCTTCTGCTGTCTCCCTTTAGTTTTCGGACGGGATATTTAGAAATGCATCATGGCCATGGTTCTCATCAAATCCTGGCCCGTGGCTTAGAGACATTCTACATATTAAACACAGCGAGGTAGTGGAATTATGGACTGTACCACTTCAGACCATAGGTAGGGATGTTAAAAAGGCCCTATAGTGTAGAAGCTGGAGATAACTGAATTGTAGGGAAGGCTGTATTTCATCTGCAACTCTTGACCAGCACCACTGCTATCTGGCCACAGAAACTTGGCAGTTGCTGTTTCACATGTTGCTTGCAGCACATTGTAACTGTATTCAGACTGCCTTCTCCCAACAACAGCTAAGACAAGGCAGTAGCAAGGATAAAACCTAATCAAGTGCAATAATCATATCACCACTGAAGCTTGTCTTGGCTGCTAAGAGAAGGCACTTCCTGTGGGAATAGCTGTTAGTTCTGTGCCACATGCGAACACACCACTTGTAGCTGCGTTTTCCAAGGCCAGTCAAAGCCTTTTCACCTCCCGAGATGAAAGCCACTGTCCTAATCAGTCCCTTCCTCCAACACAGTGGAGAAGAGTACTGCCATGATGTTACTAGTCTTATGTATTGGGTATAGGCCCTGGAACCAATATGGTGCCATGAATGTGTCTTGTCTTCCTGAATTTTGGAATGCTCAGGACAGATAAAATGAAGTACAGTGGTACCTCAGGTTAAGAGCTTAATTCGTTCTGAAGGTCCGTTCTTAACCTGAAACTGTTCTTAACCTGAGGTACCACTTTAGCTAATGGGGCCTCCCGCTGCCACCGCCGCACGATTTCTGTTCTCATCCTGAGGTAAAGTTCTTAGCCTGAGGTACTACTTCTGGGTTAGCAAAGTCTGTAACATGAAGCGTCTGTAACCTGAGGTACCACTGCACAGTCAAAATTGTGAAACTCATTCCCACAGGAGGCAGCGGCGGCCACAAACTCAAAATGGCTTTAAAAGAGGACTAGACCAATTCCTGACGATAAGGCTATCAAGTGGCTAACCACGATGGCTTTGCTCTGCCTCCACAGGTGGAAGGCAGTAATACCTCTGAATACCAGTTGCTAGAAATCTCAGGGTGAGGGTTCTTGTGCTTGGGTCAAACTTGCAGGTTTCCCACAGACATCTGGTTGGCTGCTGCGAGAACAGGATGCTGGACTAGATGGGCCACTGACAGGTTCCAGCAGGCCCTTGGGTCTCCATCTGTTTTTGGACTACAACTCCCATCATCCCTAGCTAGCAGGATTAGTGGTCAGGGATGATGGGAACTGCAGTCCAAAAACAGCTGGAGACCCAAAGTTTGAGAAACCCTGTTCTATACTATAATAAAGGCGTGCTCCCCACAGTGCAATTTGCATGGGATTAAAAACCAATAAGCAATGCTGAAGTCCCCAGGTCTTCACAAGCTAGAATATAACCTAGAATAGAGAGATCCCTTTGTGTACTCGGAGGGTGTACTACTATAATGGCAATTGCTGGGAGAAAACCTTTTAAAAGGCCACAGCGTATGCTCTAGGACCTCTGGACCGGAGCCTAAGGCTCTTGCTATGGCCATCTAAAAATAGAGACACAAAATATTTGTGGAAAACTACTATTTGACCCTTTAATAAACCACACTGGGCCATTAAAATGATGCCCCACCCATTCCCATTTCTCCTTATCTTGAAAGAGCACAGTAGGAAAAAAACCTCCCTTATGCACCAAGAAACTCCCAGAAGCAACTGATTATAGCAGCTCATATTCCACCATGAGCACAGCCAAATTATAGTAGGCTGTTATCAGCAGGAGCTACTGTCCTGTCAGCAGCTGCTGTTTGGAGACTCTCCTGAGTGGTATTCATTGATCATAGGAGAGACTTACGTAAGAAAAAGGCCTTATTATACATGTTCTCTTGATGAACAAGGTTTCCAGTAGTTCATCTCTCAGAGTAGATGGATTAATAGTAATGATATTCTGGAAGGCTTTGAGCTGCTAAGATAAAACTGAGGTGCCTTTGGTTTTGGGGTACCCCCCGCAAGAGGCTTAAGTCCCAAGTCTCCATCTGTCTTGTTTGGGGCCAGCACAGAACATCCAAGATATAACAGCCAGTGAAATGGAAGAGGAACAGACACCTCAGTTCTCTTTCTCACTACCCTTCAGGAAACCTTTGAATCAGGTCCATTGCTTGTTGGCCCAAGAAAGCTATTATGGTATATGCCCATGTGAATTCATGCAGATCAGTTGAATTGTATCTGCAGCAATGTGGAATTAGAAAAAGGATGTTACAATAAATAGAAACAGCTTCTGAAAGCAAGTAAAAACACTTCCTTACCGTTGTTATTTGTCTGGTAGCTGATGGTTGCAAGTCTGGTCAAAGACATGGTCCTCAATTAGGAGTCAAATAGTGTGAATACTAGTTAACCATATGCATCAGCTTAGTGGAAGCATTCGCTGGGGAGCTCCTGTATTTTTTAGCAATTAGTTTCAAATACACAGGAACTCTGAACCAAGCTGGAAAGCAACAATTTCCCTTTATTCATATAAGTAGTTCCTAAAGAATCAGAAGACACTCACAACCAACCAAGGAATCTGCTTGATGTACAGAATGTGACTGGGTTATTTCAGTGTCCCGTTCCCCCGCCTTTGAAGACTCTGTTACATACAAATCGCCAGTGCATTGATCTCTCTGCCCATAAACGGTGCAATAGTAGTGAGACAAAAATATTTTTTAAAAAAATGTAGAGGGAACCAAATAAACAGCTTGACATTTTCAAAGTAATGCATATTATATTTTTAAAATGGATATACTTTGGATAAGTTTAAGAAACTTAAGAGAGTATCTGGGGTGATACTCAACCAAGTAAAATGAGTGAGTCTACTCACAAGTATGAGTAGTCAAATATCACGATTTGTTTGAAGGAGTGTCTCATTCCAGGTAGACTAGTTTTATCCCTCAAGAGAGGGATAAAAAACAACTTTTATTATTAACAACCCTTATTATTAACCACCCAAAGGTGAGGTAGAGTTGATACCTCTATTTAAAGCCTAACAAGTTGAAATAAAATTGTTACAGGTTCAGAACATCCCTCAAAACAATCACCTTCAAAAAAAAAAAAAAAGAATCTTCAGTAGGGCGTATTAACTGTTAATGTGAGAACAAGAGCTGGAGGTTACACGCAACTCTTCCACCAATCACTTGAACCTATCATGAAGTAATGCTTTGACAATCCTGTGCATTTCAACCCCTCTTTATAATGTACACTATCCAAACAGCACCGACTGATAATTCTGAAATGCAGAATTTGCACGGGATGTCATTATAAAGTTGCTCAAACCATCCATGTGCCAAGAATCCAATTGCTTTCCTGCAGATTCTTGATTTTGTGCCTAAAGATTTTATTTTAAAAAGGGTAAGGTCAAGGCACAGCTATGTAATGGACTCTAGGGTTCTGCAGAACAGCAGCATTCCCAGTACTCATTAAAAACTTGGGCAGATAATTGACTTCCCACAGCGCCACCATGAACCTTCACAGCGGATTTTAAGACTATGAATATTCAAGACAGGTAATACTGCAACCATCCAAATAGGAAGATAACCCTTTACCCCATTTGATAACAGAGATGTCACAAAACAAGCAGTTTTACAGACTGAGAGACTGCCCACGATATATTCTTTTGCAACATGTTTTTTATTCAAAGATGTATCTTGACGGTTCCCACTGAAGAAGTCTAAAAAAAACACCAGCCAGCTGGGTTGGAAGAGTTTCTTTTGGCAGTGATTCTGGGAAAGATGACAAGTTCATGTTGCATGCATCTTTCCTTCTCCAATTCAGATACCCAGGATCTGAAATTCTTTGATCACCCAGTGCAGAGAGAAGGAGAAAACATGGCCAGCTAACCCTATTAGAACGATTAGCAGAACCCAAGTTGAAGTTCAAATTCCTCTCACATTCTTAATAGAACATTCCTGGAAAGAATATAGCAGAAGCATCACAAGGGGAGTAGATTGGCCAGTTTTGGATAGCACACACAGCAACTTGCTTTCAATTCTAAGCTGCCTTTCAAAAGTAGTTTGTGATACAGTACAGAGGTCCAATGTTAAAATAGAAAGCATAAAAAACCTCATTGGTGTGAACAAATTTTTGGATGAGCCTTTGGATAGCAGCCACTATTTTGTAATCTGGTGAACCGGGTTTGTGTCCCCACTCCTCCACATGCAGCTGCTGGGTGACCTTGGGCTAGTCACACTTCTCTGAAGTCTCTCAGCCCCACTCACCTCACAGAGTGTTTGTTGTGGGGGAGGAAGGGAAAGGAGATTGTTAGCCGCTTTGAGACTCCTTAGAGTAGTGATAAAGTGGGATATCAAATCCAAACTCCTCTTCTTCTTCTACAAAAGTGTGTAGAACAGAATGTTGATATATCCCATTCTACTAGAATTACTTCAGAATTAGGTACATCTAACCATAGATGAGATCTATGTTCTATTGTTTTGACATTTACGGGATGAAGAATATATGCGAATAGGCTACAAGCGTCACACTTTTAAAAGGCAATTTTCATTACTATAAAGAGACATTTCCCCTACATGAACTACATTCATGGATCATCTTAAACATGTCTGTTTCAAGTCTCATTGAGTTCAACGGGGCATATTACTGGGTATGTGGGTACAGGATTGCAGCCTCAAATTCATTACAGCATCAGTTCAATAGGTAAAACCTAAAGCTATTTGCCATTTCAAACTGTAAAAATGGCTCACGGGTCAAAATACTTCTGTGAAGTTTGTGTAGCAAAACTGGCTCAGGTCAGTATCAAAGTTTATCAGCAATAATGTGATACACTGAATAAGGTAAGACAGCTCAACTCCACCCTAGGCACCTAGAGTTCTCCCTTTACCCAGGCCATTGAAGCAGAAATCTTGTTAGTGCTGCTGAACAATTTGCTTACTGTTAAAATGCCAAAATGACTAAAAACCAGTAAACATTTAAAACTACATTGGCATCCTGCTGTATATCAGAAATACTGTTAGGCAGGTCTAAGGTCTACAGATCAAGGCATGCTCAATGTCATCTCATACAGAAACGCTGGATCAGAAACTGTTCTGGTTCCTTTTTTTTCTAGAAAAGCCAAGATCAAGGGTCTTAAAGATTATGCCAGAACTCTTTTTCAGTTACCTACCTTGGGCAGTAGTAAGATTGTTGTGTGGGACATTAAACCTTCTACAACCAAACCCTATCGCAGAGACTCCCATTCTCTCCAAATGTTTTTTTTCCCTTCTCTCCAAATGTTTTAATAAAAACACATTACTTTTATGATATATGAACAACTGAACTGTTTTATTCAATCATTTGTTGTACTTTACAGCTGAAATTCTGGAAACTCAAAGACGACATCTTTGCCTGTGAGTTTCTTGTAGACACCAGAAAATGTTTCTACCTGCAAAGGGAAGGAACAGAAGCCATAAAAGTGGTAAACAGAAAACTATCATTTCCTACAGACACAATAGTTCTTGTACAAATATACACAGCGAGTTTCAAAACGGTGCTGTACATGGCTTTAAAGGTAAAGGTACCCCTGCCCGTACGGGCCAGTCTTGCCAGACTCTGGGGTTGTGTGCCCATCTCACTCAAGAGGCCGGGGGCCAGCGCTGTCCGGAGACACTTCCGGGTCACGTGGCCA